CTGACTTTCGATGCGAGCGTGTCGTATCCAGCTTGTCTCGACATCGTTTCGAGCTCTCCGTACACAGTGAGTGCAGAAGAGGTTGCATAATACGAAACAACCACGTACTTAACACGGACGCGGGCGTCCACAAGATCCGTGATTATTCCTTGATTAAACCCGATTGGTAGCACAAAGCAGCGTTTGTCCTCGCCAGGTTTCTTCTGAATTTATTTCCGTCTTGGCAGCAAGGATAGAACTTCGGACGAAAGTGAAGCCTTTCGGCTGTAAGACTATGCCAAGGATTTGAAGACGGCTCCGAGATCTTCTTTGTCGCTGTTAACAAAAGTTCTGTAACACGGAAGCCACGTGTTGAAGCTGGCATCTCGAAGGTCGTCCAATCCATGTATTTTAAAAACCACATGTCTCTCACAGCATGGCGTTGTGACCATTTACTGAGGCCTGAACATCATTCTTGGGATTTATTACGTTAAATGCTCTTCTTGACCCGCTACATCTCCGATCTTTGGGAAAATTTGGCTTGCACATGCCGTCGCCTCCTTTCGAGACGCGTCGCAGTCGCAAATTTTGACACAGTGTGTTTCAGAGCAAAACGATGAGGCTCTTTCCACAACAAAGCTAGTGGTTCAAACATGAAGAATTCTAGAAGGTTTGTTGTGAAAGTGGATGCAGGTGTAAACACTAACGGCAGACTCTCGGAGGTGAACGTCCGAGAAAAGATTTTTGATGTCCACGTGTTCAAGGAAGACTCTCAATTCGACTTGATTGAACAAATGGCTAGCATATGTCTGCCATGATCTTTACGAAGTCAGTGCTTCCCAGTGCCTCCGAATCTGGCGGAGACCGTGGGCTTTGGGCCAAAAAATGGTTGGTGGCGACCAATACAGTAGGGGCCTAGGTGCAGTACCGACTCGGCGACATCGTGCTCTTGAATATAGCATGGAGAATGCGGTTCTTCTCGCAACTCGACTGGCCTCGAGCTTTACAGAGGGCAAGTCTATACGACGGATGCCCTTGTAGCTGTTGTGGCACTTATACGTTGTGTTTTGTTGACCCTGTGCTTATCCTGCATTAATGTCGGCACTGCGACAAGTCGAAAGACTAATGTCGCGAAGCAGTGTGCTGATATCCGAGTGACCGGGGCTGTTGGGAGGCCGCCATGTTATCGAGGGTCCACCATATTCCAACTTGCTTTTCCTCCACGATGTTGGTAAGTTCTTTCTCCCAGACTTTGAATGATTTACTGGCACGCTCACAATATTGTGGGAGCCGCTCCTTGCAGCTCAGTCATCTCTTCAGTCGCTTCGCAATCATCTGGAGTAATTCGGATACCACAAAAGGTTTCGGTACCAATGCGTCCATGCCAGCCTCCTCGGCAATCTGGACTTGCTCCGGCCGAACATTGGCTGTAACCGCGATCACTTCAGGACGGGTTGCGAAATGTCCGGAGCTTTCCAGAGATCGGATTTCTCGAGTACAGGTAAGTCCGTCCATGACAGGCATCTCCCAATCCATCAATATCACATCCAGATGTGGACCTTGGCCATGGTTTTCACCCCATAAAGAGCTGGTACGGAGGAAATTCAGAGCCTCGACACCATGATTCGCGACATGCACTGTACAGCCAGCATTGGTAAGCTGTTTTCGGAGAATTTGTTGGTTGATGATGTTGTCTTCAACTAGAAGCAGATGGAATGCATTGGACGGTGCTGTGATGGCTCTCTTCGAGCGATTGTGGGGTGGTATGGATACAGGTGCAGATTCACCGTTCTCGGGAAATGCGGGCTGCTCGAGATCGTTGCTCACGGATAGGCCGTTCGACGGTTGCACTTTACCTAATCTGGTCTTTTGTGCCTTGATGTAGAAAGCAAACGTGCTACCACGTCCAGGAATTGATGTGGCGCCGATCTCACCGCCCTGCTTCTCTGTCAGGCTGTGCGAGATGAACAAACCAAGTCCAGAGCCGCCGTATTTCGTTGACGTCCTGGGAGTCGCTTGCTCGAACCGATTAAAGACACGAGTCAATGCTTCCGGAGTCATGCCTGGACCTGTGTCTTCCACGGTGAATGTAAGGTACAGTGCCTCGCCGTCGCCCCATCCAGACCCCAATATAGAGTCCTCTCCTATTCGGCGCTGGGGAGCCCATTCAACCTGTTGAGAGAACATTCGACGAGGGCTGGATTCTGTGGCACCATATGTGACGGTGATGGAGCGCCTAGTTTCTTGTTTGGTAAACTTGATGGCGTTGGAAAGTAGATTGACTAAGATTTGCGTGATTCGTAACGGGTCGCACATAACCTGATGAGGGACACGTTTCTGTATCGATGGGTCTTGAACCGTATGTAGTGATATTGAGTTGGCTGCAACTTCGGCTTCGAAGATTCGCATAGCATCTTGGACGAGACTTTCTGGATGTGTCGGGACTGGTGAAAGACGTATTGAGGCATAGTCCATCCTCGATAGCGTCAATACATCGTCAACGATGCGCTTTTGATGGTTTGCACAACTAAGGATTGTCCGCGCTGCCTCGACGTTCTCGTCTAAAAGATTCATACAGTCTTGGATGGTGGGCTCTTCCAACCCCTTTGTGGACTCAGCAATGCTGTCGGCAAGCTGTAAGATGGCAGAAAGTGGATTTCTGACTTCATGCGAGATAGCGTCTGTGAACTCGCTTTGCTGCCTTTTCGCTTCCTTGGCATTCTGGGCCAACTGTGCTTGCCACGACTCTGCCCACTTCAACCGGCTTACCTCAGTCATGCAAGCCATAATGGATTTGACTTGTCCCATCTCCATGTATGGGAACGCTGACAAGAGGATCGTTACCGGAATGCGGTCGCCAACGGGAGGTGAGTATTCTCGCTGGAGGCGTAATTCCGTTGTCTGAGCCTTTTGTCCTTGCAAAACTTGCTGCCATGCGGTCATAGCAGCCGTGCGATCACCTGCCAGGAGCTGGTCTTCGGCTATGAATGTTTGCCGTGGACTGGTAGGATCCTGCTGATTGATGACCTTGTGGTAGTGCTCATTTGCCCATATGAGAGTACCATCTAGTGCAAGCTGCATCATACCAATGTCAGAATGCTGAGCCATATACCTGATCTGACGCTCGCTCTCAAGTAGTTGCTCCTGAAGTCTTTGATTTCTCTTCATTGCTTCTTCGGCACCGATCGTTGCTGCAACGGCTGAGGTGGCGTGACGCTGGAGATCGGACATGAATTGATGGTATTGCTCGTTGACTGGTCGTCGAGGATTATTGCCCACGAGAAGAAAACCATGAAGTCGTCCCGTGCTCAAGAGAGGAAGTGTTGTCAAGAACTGAGATTGTTCACCGTGCCCTGCCCATTGAACATCATTCCAATCTATGTTCCCACAGTCCTTGTCAAATGCCGTGGTAGTAGCTTGACTTCGCGCGGCACGGAGCAAAGGCATGAATCCCGTGCTATCATGAAGCCTTGCGGACTGAGGCTTGAGTTTAGCATCTCGGGGAAATCCTAGACTGTCAATCTGAGTAAGCTCGTGGTTGCCGTCATCATACTCGTTCTCCACTTGCCAAAGTAATGCGAACGGAATGTCTAATGTATTGGTGCTCAAGCAATCTGCAATGTGTGCGTACACACTTGTGCTTGTCTGTCGATCTGCTGATCCAGAGATGAGATTAAGCATTTTCGTTCGCCTGTCACTCAGCTTTTGCCTGGTAACCTCCTGAACAGAATTGTATATACCACCAACCGTGCCATCCTGCAATAGCACTGGCACCAAGCTTCCATCAAAGAAGCACTCCTCAAGGAAATGGTTCCGCTTAAGGTACAGTGGCAGTTCAACTATTGGTGCTGCTTTTCTCGTTGCGTCGGCTTGCGCAAAGACCGGCATGATGTTGTGAGCTACCTCGGGAAAGGTATCCTGAAACCGTCTACCCATAGCTGCAGGATGCTTCTCTCCTGCATGAGGGACATATGCTTCATTGTACACGGCGATTCTGGAGGGGCCCCTAAAAATTGGTTAATCATGATGAGATGCTTTTTGCGACCTAGGAAGAGATTACCACCAGAGACACACAGGTCGAGCATCTGCAAAGGCATGAAGTGTGTAGAGTCGGATTTCCAACCCCCAAGTATTGAGAGGGCCTAATAATGTCTCGGACCAGTTACGAGACTTAAAGAAACGAACGTGCTCGGTATCCGGCAGCAGGGCAGTCCAGTCATCTGTGCCGACAGGTATGCTCTGTAGGTTGGACATAGAGAGTCCACAACATGAGTATGTATCTGAAGAGACACGGCTCTTACAATGCAGGTTAGAACAACAGTTCCGAGACTACTTGAAAAACCATACAAGTATAGCGATTAGCGAGTGATACGAGAAGTAGATCTACTTCGGCTCCCAAACCATGTTTTCGGCAAGGGTTATGACGTGGTTCTGTCATTTACCGCCTACGATAAGGGACGAAAATCTTGCCAGCCAATAATTGGGCATCATGGCGGTAGTTAGAGTTTGTGCTTTGCGTTCCAGACCCATGGTCGGATATCATGGCCCGGCACGTACTTAAGGGGCGTCCTACAGAGACTGGGAGGCAGAGAGCCGGAGGAGACTCACTGTGGTGTTTCATTCTGTGGTGTGTAGGCAAGAAATACCACTACCCCTAAAGTAGGCGCCACAGCTCATTTCTCACTGAACCTGCTTGGCTCGAACATTGTAAAAGTAGCTAAGAAGAATTGATGGATAAATATGCTACAACAGATAGTAGTTCTTGTCGTGGGTCTCAAGGAGAGAGAGAGTTGAAGTTATGACCAAACAATGCCGGGGACTATGGCACCGGATCTGAGCTTGTTCACGGATCCATGAGCTACGAGAATTTGGCGACTATACCTGTTTGGAGCGCCTGTTCGGCGGTTTAGGTGCTTTCTCGGGCCAAGCTTTGCAAGGTTTATGTAACACATTGATCAAATTTCGCTTCAACAATCAAGCACAAGCTATAAGTCAAGTCAACTTGACTCAACGATTGAAATGTCGGGATAGCTCAGTTGGGAGAGTACGTCGCCATCTTCTGTGGGCATCTGAGCAACAGTTGCTAACACATCTCTAGGCGCCAGACTGAAGTCTACTTCGGTTCTCGCTATCTGGAGGTCATGTGTTCAATCCACATTCACGACATAGCCGCTTCATTTTTGGTCAGTTTTTGACCTGCACGACGTTGAATTGTGGAAAAGAGTTCGTCAAGCGAGTATCGGATGTTGTTTTGAACACACGGGTATCGTAGAAACTCCGGAGATTTGAATCAGGGGCTTGTCAGGTTTCGGAGCTTATAACGCACCGTACTACGGATGCGCAAAAGGATATGAGTGATATGCTAAATGTCAGGTTATGATTGGCCAGCTTTGTCGAGAGAGAGCTCCTTCCAGACATGCACAAACCCCGCCCACAATCAGAAAAATCACCATAGCCTCCAACTGGGCGCCTGGAGAGCCTATCCAAAATCTCACCTCAGTTGCCATCCTAGGTAAGTCTACACTTTCGGCTGGTAGCCCTCGACGAAACACAAGCACGGGTAGGACCAATCTGCTTACCCGCGAGGACGCCCATTAGAGCGACCGGCATTTTCAAGGTTCTGCCTGAGTTGTGCGAGGGAGTAGTCCTGTGTTCGAAGCTTACGTTTAACATGTTTATAGCGTTCGTAAGCAAACTAATTCGAGAGAGTCGCGGTCGTACATAAAGCATCGCTACCTCCCTTTTTGCCATCGCGCCGATATCATCTTAAGCAGACTCCTAGCCAACAACCAACCGTGGCTCCCATACTGTGCACATTACTACTGCGAGATTTGTCCGTCCTAGTCTTCTCCTTCACTGTCTTCACCGTGGCCCTCGTCCCCAGGTTCCTGATCTTCACATCCGACTGTCAGCGCACCTTCACTGTACACCCGATCACCAGTAACAAGACCTCCCTCAGCCCGAATCTGAGCTTCTTCCTCCCCCAAAAGCTCCTGATCATCCGCTGACGTTGCTGTTTGAAGTGTAGGGTCGTACAGCGTGTCATCAAGGTCGACGTCTTGATCAGTTGCTTTAGCAAGTCGTAGTATTTCTCGTCGGAATTGTGCTTGAGGTAGTTAGAGATGGAAGCTTCAATTGACATATTGAGTTTGTCGTCAGCCCGATCGTCAAACTCCGGTAGTGATTTTACTATCGGCTTCATATGGGCTGGCCATGTCGTCTATTGGCAACGGCACAGCGAAAGGAATGTCGTTGGTTGATAGTCAGGAGGAAGTCAGCGGATTGCGTCCTGTCGAAGAGTTGCCAGATGCATTCTGAGAAAATGGTGAGAGTACAGTCGATTTGGAGCCACTTGCCGTTGCAGAGGAGCCACATTCGTTGAGATCTGCTGCCGAAGAGCTTTCAGCAAGTTCAGTAGATCCATCTGGGATGAATATGGGGTATCGAGACGGAAAGATAGACCATTGATCTCAACTCTAGGGGCTTTTCAACCAAAGTGCTCTTCTATTCCGGCAATTGTGCGCTCGACGGTGTCAATGTCTGCTGGCCTCCCTGTACCGTGAGTCTCGACCAATCCAAGTACATCGGTAAGAGCGCATAATCAGATAGCATTGGAGAATGTTTATAGCCCATTGGTCAGCACATGCTAGTATGACCACACTCGTTTCTCTCCTCTCGCATCCAGAACGCCCTTCTTGTTCATCCTCTGGTACCACAACCTAAGACCCGTAGCACTAGCAGCAACGAAGAAACTGCAAGCAGCGCAGGTGAAATTGCCTGTAGGGTAACCTTGCTCCTTCTCATTCGCTTTCCAGATCCATTGCGCGATGATTTGACCAAAGCCCGCACAGGAGTTGTTCAGCGCGATGGCGAATGGAATCGTGAGCAAGCTGGGCGTGTTGCAGGTCACCCAGTTTGTCATACTCGGCGCAACTGGGAATGCTCCGCACGCCGCCAGACAGAGACATCCGTACCGTTGCACATATGCGTCTGGGGGAAGGAGACCTGCAGTAAGCCAGCCGACACCACCAACGATCGAGGCAACCGTGATGTGCCAGCCGCGTGCGTCGAATCGATCCGCGCTGTAAGACAATGCAATGGCACAGCAGAAACCGATTACCCACGGGGGCACCGTAAGCAATTGAGCTTCGATAGAACGATAGCCGAGGCCAGTAACGATGGTCGGAGCGAAGAAGGTGAAAGAGCCTTGAGGAACAACATCGGCGATCTGGGGGGTCTGTTGTTAGCACATCTCCATCCGCCTAGCGACGAGAACCTACATAGGCAACGTAATGCACCAGCATTCGCGGACTGAAAAATGTCTCCAAGCGCTCTCTGCGGGAGGCATGGTCCCTGTTATAGCCACCTCCATGCTGCTTCAGACGATCGATGGCAAATTGTTTGTCGTCTGCGTTCAACCACTTAGCTCGGGCGGGATAGTCAGGTAGGAAGAAGAGCAGTGGTATCGCGCTGAGGACTGTGATGATCCCTTCGATTATGAAAAGCCAGCGAAATCCTTCCAGCCCGGAGGCCCCGTTCACATGGCCGATGCCGTATGCTATGGCGCCACCGAAGGCACCTGCAAGGTTGCAGAATGCGACGACCATGGCAATACGTACAGCACGTTCGTTGTGTCGATACCACTGTGTTCATATTAGTGAATGTGCAGAGACTGAACTGGTGTGTCTGGAAGAGGGTCGAGGATAAAGAGTGCCTCAAAATCGAGTCGAGGCTAATGATGCTATAGGCCTCAACGACATCCTCCCTAGCATTCATTGTGTGGTCCAAGCGTACAGGTAACCTAGGGCAGTACTCACTATCGTGATGAAGTATACAATTCCTGGAAAGAAGCCAGCTTCAAACTATGCGTAGTCAGTAATGAGAAACTTGTATCGTCAGGGCCAGCCGCCCTAAAGAGGGTAGGACACGTGGGACAGAGGTAGAACACTCACTATACCAATCAGCAGCCGTAACGAGAGAACTGTAGCATAGTTCTGAACGCCGGCAAACCCTATAGTGACACAACCCCATGCGAACAACAGAAAGGCCAACCACAACGATGGTCGTACGTAGTGCTTCATGACCCAATTGGAAGGTACTTCAAAGATCGCATATGCCAGACTGAAGATTGTCAACACTATGGCGTACTGGCTGGCGTTCATGTTCGTCTGCGACAGCATATCGTCGCCCGTTTCTGAGTTCAGAACCCTTGCGTTGCCGATGTTTCCCTACAGCATAATCAGCCTAGCCGTTGGACGCATTGCGGATGCTACTCACCCTGTCTAAGAAGTTAAGGAGGTATACCCAACAGCAAAGTGGCAAGACTCGTATGTCGAGGCGACGGTTGAGGCTTTTATTTCGTTTTTGGTCGTTCACGTCGGTGGTGATGGGCTTGTCCATATTGGCATCGACGTGATTCTGTTGCCAAATTAGTTAGAGTTGCTATCCAGGTGGCTCCTTTACCTCAGCATGTCGAGACTCAACGTGCTCGGCGACTTCTGGTTTCTCCATGGCGACTCGTGCTCAGGTTTTCGGTTTCTGCGTGAGTGAGGCGCTCGTAACCTTTTTGAGATAGGAATAGGGGAGGTACATGAACGAATGAGCCTTTTCATGTCGAGACTGATGTAGAAAAGCCATCGGCCTTCACACGGTGAGCAACCGACGGCTCACCCACCGTGCTGTCATTTTGTGACTGGCCGCCACGAGCCGAACGACCAGTTCCACGACATGGGCACTACTGACTGCTTGGAAACAGACAAGACGGGTCTCAAGGACTTCTGTGATTGGTATGAAGCAGCTTACCCCGGGATGATCGACATAGGTCAGCACAAGATAGGAAGGGTAACGGCGCGTTGAAATATGCGGGCAAGGGCGGGGAAGCCTTGGCATAGAAGCTGGTCCTGCAGCGGTAAAATCAATATTGCCTACCCGCGAGCATTAATCGAGGGATGTGACGGACGTATGGTCGAATTCAACCATGTTCTAGCTCTTATCACGGTTCATGTTTCTGCCGAAGGTCCTGACACAAGTTGCACCAGTGGTTGCTCCTGTCCAGCCTGCTTCTACGCGTCCGTTGGGTCATAGCAGCCAGTCGCGCACCCAACTCCCTCCGCAACTTCACGCGTTGTGACCTTCCATCGTTGAACCCGAGCTGAGGGAGGCAGTGACATGAGTAAGTCTTCTCTGCAAAGCATGCCCTGGTCATGCTCAATCCCCTACCTGGATCTGACCGCAACGTTTCGATGATGCGACTTCTCCTCCTTGGAAGACGATCGTTCGCGCTTTATGCCTTCCTGAATGGCACGTACAGCTCAATGCCGCCCACCAAAGACTTCTTTATTGCGCCGACCCGGAGAGATCTTGGCTTCACCAGTACAGCTGGCTACTGACACCTCGCACCACGGGAAGGTGTCTCTCATGCAAGGCGCCCTGCTGTTCGAGTCACAAGACCATATTCAAGCAAATGCAGCATAGCAAACGGAACAACAAGAAGAAAGGAACAAACAGACGAGCACGTCGTGTCCCACATGGCGGAAGATACCTCTGAACCCAGCAGGACACTGCTGCCTCCCGGTCGCAGGATACTGCAGATTCAAGCCCACAACTCAACTTTTGCCAGGGAGGACAGTCAGCTCTTCTGCTGGCAGACGGTATCTTCCTGGGGATTGCCTTCACGAGCCTCGCTACCGCGATGCTCAAGTAAAGGCGCACTTGTTGCGGCGACGTCGCGCCGAACACTGCCAAAACCGTATTGTGAATGTGAGGTCCATGTGAGACGAGATTACTGCTCGAGCTCCCTTGGAGACTAGTCGTCGGTCCTCAGCTCGCGGCGATACTGGAAGACTTAGGCTCTCAACTCGCTTTGCCATGAGGCGATCAGCTAGTCCCGCGCAGGCAGCAGCATCTGTGAGCTTGCGGACGAGCAGACACGAATGGCGCTGCCTGCTCAAGTCTTGCGGTGGATGTTCGTGAGTGGATCCGACTGCTGGCTGGATGTCGACTATCCTTCTTTACAAGTAAGTCAAACAGTGTTGTTGTCGGCGGTGATTGGTGCTTTCCGTCCTCTTTCTGCTGTCTCATAGGTCGCTACAGGACGTCGAACGTTCGGTCGCTGCTGAAGGAGGTTGAGCGGATCTGCGCAAAGACTGTCGAGCGGCGATGCAGGC